TTTGCAGGTTGAAAAGAAAAAAGCCATTCATTTTCTCTATTGTTGCAGCGGGAAGGTGCTGGCAGGGTCCTGCTCCTAGGTTTGCATCCTCCTTGCAGGGAGGGCAGTGTTCCCAGTGATGCTCTTCTCTGATGCTGGAGGGAAGGGCTGAGGGAGAATGACAACTGTTTTGAGTGCTGGCGATTTAAGCCTGAATTCAGGAGCTTTCCTTAACACTTTGTAACCTGATAAACGCTTGGGTGCTGTATTTCTCTTTAATCTCCTACAGGCAATGCTTACTCTTAAGGGATCCCCTTTTCCCCAAGTCTCTTTCTAATCCAGTCTCTTTTCTTTTTGTCTTTCTTATATTTTAGATTCCTAAAGGTGTTTGTGCTGGTGCAAGAACCTCGGGGCGAGCTTGTCACAGAAGGAGAAACAAAATGGTCTGTTTACCCTGCAGGCAGTTAAAACATACCCATGGAAATCCAGACTCCCAGTCTTGTCTGGAGTTCCCACTTGAAAAATTCAGATCTAAATTCCATCCCAGTGTCATTCAGATGCTTGCTCTTTTTTATGGCATGGTACTTGTGGCTCAGATTAACATGTCAGCCTTCCCCACTCTTCTGCCAGCTTGGCACGGCCCTTCTGTGAGACATAACCAACACTTTTCCCCAGCCAGTTCCTCCCAACACAGTCCAAGAATTGCTGCTGGCTGCGCTCTGATGCAAAGGGTAACCAGAGAGTCCCAGGCATGTACTGATCTATCTGCTGTCCTCCCTTGTCCCTCAGTCCATCTGAATGTGTGCACTGGTCCATCAGCTTGTCACATGGTGCCTTTAGTGCTAATCCTGCAGGTCGGCACATCAGATAGCGAGGGAAGGAGGTGCATACACATGAAAAGCCACCTGTAGGAAAAGTGTTACAGCAGCTGGACTGGACTCTGAATTTGCGGATGTTAAATTTTATGCACATGCATTATTCAATATTCTGCTTTCCCCAAAAGGTCACTAATATTTGTCAGCCTTTTTTTTTTTTTTTTTTTTTTTTTAAACTTAGGCTGATTCTTATTCTGAGTGTTAAATCCCCGTGACCTTGCTGTTTCCTGGAAACCTTCAAGCTCATGTATGTATGCTTGCTTTCCTGCTTGCTCTCTCTGCCCCGCCTCTGCTTCTCTCTCTTCCTCCCTTGCTCTCTTTCTCACACACACACACACACAGGCACACAGACACTGGCATTTTGGTTTGAAGCCCCATTTTGCTCGTCACAAAGACCTCCGTTTTGCTCTTGTTTCAGTCTGCATGCTCGCCCTGTTGCCTTGCCTGCACCCACCTTCTTGAGGGTCACGTTATTTGGTGGCTCACTGTTGATAATCTCTTTGCATTTTTTTTTGTTGGTTTGTTTAGCATTTCAGACTTGCCTTCTCCTTTTGCATGACCTCTTGTGCATTCTCATCAGTTAATGTTTGAATAACAGAATTTCTTTAGAAAAAGGAAAAAGAAAAAAGAACCTGCACTCTCTGTCATTCTCCCACCTTGCCTTGGACTGGACCTCAACCCAGAAGCCAGACAGGACTTATGACTTACTCATCAGCCATCCTGTTCGCACGTGATTTTATTTGAAGCAGAAGTAGCTTGATAAGTGATGCTGCACCTTATGTCATGCAGTGGAGAGAAAGCTATAATATCCCCAAATACCACATGATCTGGGCCTAAACGGCCTAAAAAGGGGTTGATTGTTTTTCTAAACTTATATGCTGTAAATGTATTGTTTTCCCCTTAGTCTTTGCCATTACTATTAGAGTAATGTTGTACCTGTTCGAGGCCTGTAAGAGTCAGTTGCTACTAATAGTTCCTGAGGGCATAATTTATTCATAGATTAACAAATCATTTGGAAAAATCCACTTCCTCTTAGGAAACTTTAGCATCTCTTGTAATATCCCCAGAATTAGAAAAAAATTAATATGAAGCCATTATGGCCAGTGACCCTAAAATGAAGCCCCTCAGGTTTAGTTTGCAGACAGATGTGTGTGTTGCTTTGCTGCCTGCTGTGTTCTTAAGCAGGGTCAGCATGTAAAAAACATGCCCAAGAATCATGTACTCTTCATGTTGGGGATTGCTTAGGTCTTCCTCACTCAGGATGAAGTTATTTTTGAATTAGGTTACATGTTGTGTTCATAACTTTGTCCCTTTCTCTCCATTCAAAATACCAGTTTTTATTTGTGATAATAAGGTCCCTCATCCCTGCTGTTACTACTGTAGCTGTTATGTTATGGTGCTTAATATCTGCAAGCATCTGCCAGCAAAAGCTTACTTTTTTTTTTTTTAATCTAATTGAAATGGCTCAGGAGCCTGCACTGTCAAGCAGATGATACCAACACTGAGGCTGTTCAGCTACAGTGCTACTGGAGTCAGAAGGATCATAATCAATTGAATTACCATCCTTATCATTGCTGCTACTGTGTTCGCTTAACTGTTTAGATCCATGAGCCTCTGATAGCAGAATGTGATTGTGATCTACACAGTTGGCACTTGTAGCTTTGTACAAAAATTTGTGACATAGCTGTGCACAGGCTTTGTTGCACTGCAAAGCCAACATATCTCTATCAGGGGATCTAAATGGTTAAGCTGTTAACAGGTGTGCAAAAATCTTTTGAATATTTTTAGCTGCAGTATTTTTATTCTCTTGTGTCTGATGCACTGTTGAATCAGCAGCTGGAATAATTCATTTTCACCTATTATTGTGCCATCTATGTAAAAATTAGAAAAGTTTGCTTTTATATATTTAATCTAGGTGGACAGTATATTATTGTCAGCCTCTGTGGAACATTTGAACAATTGCAATGTCTGTGTTGCTAATTAGCGCTTTAGAAAGAGCATTAGCTTTAGCCGACTGATTTTCTTCAAAAGAGTTTTATTAAAAGACCGTGTATGGAGTTTTTATAAACTTGGTAACTAGTTCCCAAAAGCCTGGTTCTTAAAATGTATTACAAGAAAAATTAGCAACAGTCATATATTGTGGCCTCTACATCTTTATTCTGCTGCCTTTAATCAGGGTAAAGAATGGGTAATTTTTGTAGAACTTACCTTTTGCAAAATCTGAAGGACTAAATATGTGACTGGTTTATAAAAACTCTGCCTGAATTTACTAATCTCACCCAGAAGTGTGGACTGTACGTTCTACAAAATGAAATCTCGTTGTCCCCAGCAAAAGTCTCTAATGCCCTTTCTTAACATCTGTAAATAGAGAAGAAACATATTTACTGATACTGAAAGCTGTGTTTAATGCTGAGTATTTTTCAGAAGTTCATTTAGTTTGATGCATATTGTTGTTTTTGTTTTCCTGCCTGAAGTGTCAAAAGACCTAAAAGAAGCCAAATTCTATTTTAACACGATGATGTCGAGCACTTTTTTATTTGTATATGTGTGTGTATGTGTGTTTGAGCACTGAACTTTAGATTTTGGTGGCATCTCAGTATCGTGATTTCATTGCCAATGTAAGAGGTTCTGGTGTGCCCATTCATTTCTGGAGACAGAATTCAACCAAATAAAGTGCTTCCATTTGAAAGCGAATATTGACCTTGTAACAATGAAAGGAAAGTCATCCACATATTTAAATAAACATTTAATTCCAGAAATAACCTTTCCCTGGACCTTTTTGATCTTCTAGAGAAGAAGAAAAGTGGTTTTGTTGTTTATTTCCCAATCAAAGAAGGCCTGTGCCTCTTTGGGGCTGCTTCTCTGATTTGGTGAGGTATTATAGCCATTGCTCTCTAGTGACCTTTTTGCCTTACCACAAGTATTTCCAGGTGAGAATTTAGCTGTGGCTTATTGTTTTAGCCAGACATAAATTTTATAGCCTGAAACTCCCCTAGGCTTCTCTCTTATTCCTCAGCTTTCTCCTTGAAGTATGGATTTTGGTTTCATGTTTAGTTGTAAAATTTTTAGCAAATAAGCTGAAACAGCCAATTCCAGTGCTGTGCTTGCGTATAGCTGCTGTTTTGTGAAGAATGATGAAAAATTCTTACTTGTACTTTTTTTTAAATTTCATACCTGATTTTTCCGGGTACTTGGGCTATTAATTTGGGTCTGCACTCGGAAGGATAGTGCTTTGAGTGACGATGTCTCACAAATCTAGTTCCCAACAGGTCACTTTGAGATACTTGTAATTTTACCAAATTTTTACCTTTCCGGCTGGCGCTAAACATAGAACCAAGTGTTTTCTGGAAGCTTTATCAGAAACAACGTAGTCATTTTAGAGGAAAGAAAAATGCAGTGTTCTGGCTGTAGTTGTTGGTGTATTTGGGAAAGACAGGTGGGTCTTGGGGTTTTTCAACTTCCCCGCTTTAGTAGGAGGCCACAAGAACTGGAAGTTTAGGGAAGACAATTCCTCTTAAGACAGAGCTGTACCTCTTAGTATCCATAGTGGGTGTATTGGTTTAATCAGAAGGCTTGGCAGATGTAATATAGTAATAGTAATAAAATAGTAATTGTTTATACATTAAATGTGTTGTGCCCCCGGCAAGTAACATGTTCATGCATGTGTGCACACACATGTATGAAATATAGTAGTATTTCCCTCCTTTGAATAATCTGTAAGTCTGGATAAGGATATTTGCAGTTCATTTTTAATATGCAGGGGTTGGTGAACAGTGGATGGCAGAGCTCCAAAGAAATCTGCTGGGCCACAGGTGCAAGGGGTACTGTGCACATACTGTGCTGGAGCTGGCTGTCTTGAGCTGTAATTTATTTTCCTTTAGAGGAAGAGGGGGAAAACAAAACAAAAACAAAACCCAGAAGATTGTATTCTAAATGTCTGAAGCTCGTCACAGCCCCAGAGAGGGGAGATCTGAAATGAGTACTGCGGCACTGCCCTGCTCCCCGAGCTTGTGCACGTGCTTTACAGCATTTGTACACGTGCATCCCCCTTCTCAGTGCAGGTTTTGGGGGCAGAAGGTGGATAATCAAATGGGAGAGGAATGTGCCTTCCTACCCAGCACCTGGATGGTGCAAAATGAACAAGATGGAAGGGTAAACAGCTAAACGCAGCAGTCGGTGGGTTTCCACCAAGGGGACTGAAGCAGGACAGGAGTATTGAGACAGCTCCTACCCACATATGTCTTACTGGCTGTGGGAGGTGTGGTGGGGGAAGCAGCCAGACAGACAGTGTTTGGGGAAAGGGCTGTGCACATGCATAAGGCACGTGGTTCAGGGCTCATGCAACTTGTGAACTTCCTTTGGCAACCTTAATTTTGCTTTGGTGTTTTTGTCCAGCATTAACAACACAAAATAACTGTGGCGGAGGTTGGACAAAATTTTCCTTCCTCTTTTTGGAAGAAAGAAACAGCTTATGCCAAAGAGGAAGAGATCCTCAACTGGCAGATGGAGGGTTCCCTTAAAAGGTCCCTCAAACGCTGTGTCAGGAAAGCCATTGCTGTATTCAACAGCATGTCAGGGAAGTACAGAGAAACTGGGCAGGTAGCTCAAGGACACCACAACTTCCTCACTCCGTGGAGAGCAACACATCCTACTACCTCTGCTTGGATGCAGAGCTATGGTGTGTTGGATTTGTGGATGGCGCTGTCTGCTGTTATGTTGCACTGTGCTGCTTGGCTGACACACAGGCCTTGCAATTCAGCTCTAAATTAACCTAAAATTCCTTCTTTGTCTTTAAGAGCATTAATCTAAAAATCTCTTCTTCTTCTCTCTAGCTGAGAGAAACATTCTGACTAGCTTCTGGACAGCTTCTCCATCACCTGTTAGTCCAGTACATTGGAAATAGCCTCATCTAGGAGCCAAGAGGATTTGCAGTTGTGCAGCTCATAGTAGGTAGTACCTGAGTAACATCTGACTGTCAAATATGGAGTAATGAGGCTTCATCTGAAGCAGCTATATAGAGATTTTTTTCTAAGGTCATATTCCTTTTATTTTTTTTTCTTTCTCTCTTTTTTTTTTTTTTTTTTTAAACAGAACTTCAGTTGTCCTTTGCCAGCACGGATTATCATCCCTGTCAATTCAGGACAAATCAGAATTGTTTATGAAACAGTCTGCCAGAAAGAATTCTCAAAAGTACAGTGAAAACAAGACTGAGACGTATGTGTTTCATGTCCTTGCATTTTTTGGAAACAATGAGCAGCAGGGGGTGTCAGTCTGGCTCTAACTTTGATTTCTCTTGAACAGTATTAGCATTGCTAGCTTTAAATAGAAACAGAGCAATCAAATTAGTGACTGAAGGCTGGAAGCTGAAGCCAAGCTGAGTAATAGCTAGTAAGAAAATAAAATGAGCTTTAAATGCATGTCACTGAACATGTCACAGACAGTATACAGAATGCTATTTACTTTGGTCCTTCAGGGGAAGGGTGGAGAGGTGCTGCTGGCAGCTGTGGGCTGCAGAGTAAGGCTGTGGCTGCACAAACAAGTGACCGTGGACGTAAGCTGTGGGGTAGATCTACAGGACGTTGGCCCGCATCCTTGAAGGAAGAGCCATCTCCCCCTCCTGTGGGTTGGGACATGACGCATGTGCGCTGTAAGGTAAGAGCACAGGGGCAGGTATTGCAGAGTGCTTGTCTCATGAACGCACCAGTTTGATATGACTGAGGCTGTGATACACAGAATGACAAGCCCTCTGCCTTGAGAACAGCCAGCAGAAAAGCAGGACCCCCTGTAAACTGAGCTCAATGTATCTGTAAACTTCCCAGCACGCTCAAAAGACTGGGGGAGGGAGAGCAAATAATACAAATAGTGAGGTTAGCTCAATCATTCAAATGCATGAACAGTTCTCTTATCTCCCCATTTTTGCAGTCAGCAAGGGACCTGATAAAATACGGAAAAAATGAAGTGTTTATGCAAAAAGAACTCATCTATCTTGGCCATAAAGTCTAGCTTACAATGGCTTACACAGCTAGCTGTGTTCGGGATATGTGCTCAGAATTATCATAGCTACCTGATACCCGAGTCAGAGAAAAGCAGCACGGCAATGAGATTTCAAATCTAAAATGAAATATGGGTGCGCAACAAAGCTTTGAGTGTTGTAACAGAGGATAACAACAAGTACAACTAGGGTTTTGCCAATGCAATACTAAAGCTGTTTGTCTAGACACTATATAATCCCATCCCTAGGGGAAGGGAGTTTGTTAATGTTTTCAGGAACGTTACAAACTGTTCTGCAGTTGCTGAGGTTACAGAGTTTGTTTGCTAGATGAAAGGTTTGAAAGATGACTTAAAGTTGCTAGCGTACAACTGAACTCCAGCCCTGTTTCTTGCAATATTTTGGGCTTCTCACTCTCTACTCAGCAGGAGAGAGCCCTTCTTATCCTCTTCTAGCCCTTCAAATGTGAGGAGCTGCCGTTCATATCATCTACCTGTTTTAGCTACTCTGTTGTTCACAGTGGTAAAACAAGAGCACAGTGGTTCCTGGGGCCACAGCAGCAGGGTCTACTGTCTGCATCGTGCCCATGAGTAAAGCTGCTCTCACATAAATGTCGCTAAGGGAAGTGGGTTATCCCAGTAGAAAGATCTTCAGCCAGACAACAGTCAACTTCATGGGCTCTATTTTAGAAACCTAGAACGGCTCAATGAAACTTCAAGCTACTGTGTTTGCAAGTTACTTTCCCAGCTACGATGGTCATGAACACCATGTGCTTCCCAGGCAACACAGGCTTCCTGAGACAGAAACTCGGCTGAAACTGTACCAGAGCTGCCTAAATGAAACAACGTTAACGGGAAGTCTTTTGTCAGAGGCTGAAAGGAGCAGGTGCCCTTGTCTGAACGACTGCAGTATGATTTAGTGGACTGCACTACTGAAGCTTGCTGCTGCTCAAAAGGATGTTACTGCAAGGCCGCTAAGCAACAGGCTCTTGGGTTTTGTTTTTTTCTTTCTTTTCATTAATGCCATAAGTAAGCGCCATGGAAACTGTTAGACCCTCTGGCCACACAGGCAGGCAGCAGTCATGCAAATTGTTGAATGCACATGTATTTATTGTGACACGGTTTCAGCACAAAATGTAACACTTAAGCACAGGAGTGTTATTACAATCTGTACAGCATCTTCTGCATGGCACAGACACAACACAGACATGCAGCCATACAGGGTCTGCAGCAGAATCCAAGAAGGCTGCAGTGGCTAACACAGACAGCTTAAAACAATGAGAAATTCCAACAGTGGCTCATTCTCTGACCTCCCCTCTGGCCTGGCTGGGGATATACAAGCATCCAATAAATAGGATAGTGAAATTAACATGCTGAACCATTTACAGAGACTTTTTTAAAGAAGAATTTGCTGTTTGCAGCAAACATTTGGTCAAAGACATCTGAAGGCCACGTTTTTCATTTCAGAAACTCTTCTCTCCCACACCCTTTTCCACTCCTAGCTGTGAGTTGAAGAGCAGCCTTCCTTTCACCCCTCCCACCCTTTTTCTTCTATATAAGGGCACAGTAAGTGCGTAGGAGGTCATAGCCTCCTGTTGGAGTCTGGTACCAAGGCCAGACTGATGCTGAGGAATCATGAAGGGTCCAAAACCATTAGGAACAGTTTGGCTCTTCAGGCCAAGAGTTTGCTCAGGCCCAAGGGAGAGGCCGCCCCTGCCTTGCTCTGCTTCCATCAACTCTCACTTGAGGGCTTGCAAAGTCACATGGAATTTTACTATCATTCATCTTTAAGCCAGCAAGGTGAAGAGTTTTGAACAGCCCTGCTGAGAAGAGTAGCGTTTAGCCTTTTTCATCTTAATTCCTCTCTCCTCTGCCTGTTAATCGGGTGCTCCGTGGTTGCGTTAGCAGCAGTAGATTGGGGAGCAAGTTATTTCTGTTCATTAAATGAGCCACTGTATACACAAACAAGATCAGTGTTGAGAAGCTAGAATGAGCTCAGCACACAGGTGGGGGCTTGTTTGCAGAAAACAGCTCCTTCCGAAGAGGCTGCTTCAACAGCCTGAGGCCTGTGCAGCTGGGCACCTTCCCCAGTGCTGAATTACTGCCCTGTCTAGAGGTGACCCATCTGACTAGGCTCTGGGCAAACAAATCCCTCAGAGGGGCCTCCTCATCCTTGACACAGCCATCGCTTCTCATAAAAGATGTGGAGACAGGTCTACGCTTACAGCAGGGTCCTTCTGAGAACAGAGTCTGGACAAGCAGATGAGGGAATTTCATATTAACCAGAACAGGAGCCCAAAAGTCTGCATCACAGCTGTCTTGTGTCCAGCTCTGATGAAGTCTGCCCAGCTAACAGCTTTGTGTTTAAGCTGTTCATGTACCACCCCTGTGAGCTTAATACCCAGGGGGCTGCATCCCTATCTACAGAGCTGCCAGGAGCGTTAGAGGAAACAGTTCAGTGGGAAGCCATTTGAAGAACTTGTCTTGCAGCTTTGTTCTCTGAAACCTTGCTGAACACATGGCATCTGATGCAAGGAGGAAAGAATTCTGCAGGACCATGAAGGTGTAGCTACGGCCAGGGGAGGGGGAAAACAGCCTCTTTCAAGATTTCCTAGTTGCAACTGACGTTGCAAGAACTAGATAAGGAGCAAAACCAGAAGTTGTGTCAGCTGTGCTCCACCAGCACAAAACTTATCAGTCAGGAGACCTTGTGGCTTTAGTCAGCTTCAGATAAACAGGTTTCTCTAGTTGCAACATTGCACACTGGAAACATAAATAACATTTCATTATCTTTATACATTGGAGTATTAAAAAAAAAAAAAAAGTGCCAGAAGCAAACCCTGCAAAGGAGCAGAGAGATTCAATTCACTGGGGGGCAGGCTGGGAGTGCTGGCTTCTTGTAAGCCAACAAAAGGGAGAGGGATCAAGTCAAAACATTTCCTAGCGAAGTTTGGCTGCAGTCTCCCCTTCCCTCCCCCCCCCCCCCCCATGGCTTTATCCCCACTGGGGGGGTGCACAGATGAATTATAGAAAAGTCAATTTTTCACAGTCTTTTCCAGCACCATCTCTATATCCAAAACCACATGAAAGGACAGTGGAGGAAACCTGCCTTCCCAAGAAGTGGTGGTGGGCATTGCACATACCTTTGAGTACCAGACAGAGAAAGAGGTTTGACTCCTCAGGATTCCCCAGCCTTTCAGCCCCACATAGACGTATTCGTGCCATACCTTCCCTGCCCCATCCCGCACTGTTCACACAGCCCGAGTCTCCGCTTCAATCTTCTGCTCCCCGTGTAGGTTCTCCAGTTCCTGGGCCTGGGCCACGTTCTGTCTGATAGCAATTTCTGGGCCCCCTCCATATAGCGTGCTTAAATAAATCCATGTCTCCTCAGAAATCTGCCCATAATCAGCACCTGAAAAGAACAACAGCAGTAATCACACAGGCAGCCAGGTCCGCAGCGCAGGTGCTTGCTCTGTGCAGCCACAATGCGGAAAGCCTGGCGTGTCACAGCCAGGAAGACATCCTCTCCAACCTCTCCCTGCCCAGGCCCATCACCAGGAAAAGTGAGGCACAGGAAGGCATGAGTGGATTCAGACAGTGCAAACTGCAGGTACCAACCAGAACGCTCCCCCCCCCACACACACCCACCCAAGGTGGCAGCTCTGCACCAAGCAGCTGTAGTGACAGCAGTCCCAGCCAGCCCTCTGCAGTGCCACCTGCTGCTGGAAGCCACTGAGGCTCCATGGCAGTTCAGCCGACTGCTCTGGGGTCCTGCTGCATTCGCATCTTCATTCCCCCTAAAAGGAAGCGAGCAATAACAGCCCATGCTATAAGGGCCTATCTAACCCTCTCTCTCATGCACAGCACTGAACGAGCTCTGACAGCCTAGGGGGCCTACAAAAACGCACTCAGACACATCAGCCCCAGGCAGTTTGGGTTCTGCCACCAGAGGAAACTGAAAAAACACCTGGGAAGGACAGCTTAAAATGTTCAAAGCACCAAGCTGGTAAAGTAGAGAACTTTGCTA